CAAAAAAAAAACCAAAATCACAAAAGGTCACAAGTTCGATCTGGGTAGCATCAATGTTATATATTTTTAATCACCTTTAAATATATATCGATGGCTCTGTAGAGTCCGTCGTCGTAGAGCCGTGCTTCATCAGGGAGAGAAATCGCTAAACTGTAGAATTTCTCCGGTTTGAGATTACCGTCCGATGCGATTTCGCCGAGAACTCCGTCGATTAGTTTCCCAACCACCGTCAGCGACGAAGATACGACGGCGATTTCGAGGAAATGACCTACGAGCCTCTCCACCAGATCGACATCGTATAACGTCTCGTTGAGATACGAGTAACTTGGGATGAGCAGATCGTCGAGCGTCGCTTTCTCCAGCCGCGACCCGATTTTTCTCTCAAGGAACGTCCGGCATTTCTCGGAGGTGTTGAGGATGATGGCGGATCGTAATAACCCGAAGAGAGATCTCGTCGTCGTTGCGGTTTTCGAGGAGTGATTTAACGGAAGATCTGAGATTATCGTCTCCAACAATTCTCTTTGATTGTTCTCTGACGCTATGGTGGAGGAGGAGGAAGATGACGAAGACCGCGACGAGATTCCGGGGATGTGCTTCTTCGCGTAACGAATCAGAGAGCTCTCTACTAGATCGGGACTTAGATCTCTTGATTTCATGGCTAGGATTACTCGTTTGAAGATCGGGAAGTTCAATTCCGTTAGATCTTCGAGCCATAGCTCCGATTTCGAATCATTGCTCTGTTTTGTATCGGCCGATTTCGTTTTGTTTATTGGCCAACCGAACAACGACGGATCTGGTGATGAAGCTCTGGAGACGATTGATTCTATGCACTGTTTCGTTATACCGATGGATTCGGCTACAGTAGAGACTGATTCGCACGCTTTCAACGCCTTGATGGATTCTGGTATGCTATTGAAGACGGATTGTGAGAGGAACTTGTCCGTCTTTGAGATTAGGTTTTCCGGTGAGTGCTCTTCCGACATTTCGAGATCCTCCGCGGCGCACCGGAGTGGAACAGCTGTTGAAGCAGAGAGTTCGACTTTGACGCCGTAACATATCTTTACCACAATCTCGAAAATCTCCGAACCTCCTGGAAAATCCTCGAGTCTGATGTGAAGATAATCGTTGTTTTCTACTGATTCCTCTTGTTCATGGCGTTTCCTGTTGTCGTCACTCTCTTCTAGTCTCTGCTTATGCTCTGTAATCAGCTGGTGGAGTTTTCTGCTCTTGGATATCAGAGGAAACTGAAGGGAACATAAAAGTTGAGTTAAGTTTTGAGAAAACTCTGAAAACAGAAAAGAAGATGAAATCTCAAGACGTATTAATGAAGACCTTATGCAGATGAAATGTCATGTCGTCGACTTCGATTTCGATGTCACTGGGCAAGCCTGTGGTACAAAACCTGCACCGAAAGTAAGACAGAAAGAATTTTCAGAATGAACAAGAAACATCTTTTTGACTATTGAAATGAGGTGTTTTGTCTTTCTTCACCATGCTTGCCTCTTTGAGTTCGGTTTCTCTGCTGCCATTGGTAGTGATTTTCCCTCTGCTTTGATTCCAGAAGTTCCGAGAAAATCACAGGAAAAAAGAAGAGCAAAATCTATCGTTGGAAGTGGAAGCAAGAAGATTCTTAAGACATTGACAGATTATAAAAGTGGAACGAGTTTTTGATCAATTTGCTTCAACCTTTTTTCTTCGTAATAAATTTTTCTGTCTTTTGCTTCTTTAATTTACATAAAGAATTGATTGTTTAATACGTTGGATGCAGAACAGCCAGAATTTCAAGAAATTGGGCATTGAAAGGAGGCAAAGTCACACTCATATGTTAATCATAAATTCTTAAAAAATTCCCTACAGTAGTCTCTTTTTCTAACTTTTGTTTATAATTCGCAAATGATTCTAACTAAATTTTGATTTTTTTTGTTTCTACTATCCAACTAATACATCACTATTGGCCTGTTAAGAGAATGGTGTGAAACTTCCCCGCAACTGACTCGTTATGAATGATTTGGGAAAAGATAAAGCCTTTTGCTCGAGCTTCTTTCGCTAGACCATCTGCTCGGACATTTGAACTCCTGGAGATATGGGAAAAAGTGAAATCCAAAAAGCTTTCTCGTAATGTTCGGAAAATTTCCAACTCTGAAAAGAAGGATGGCCAGTCTGATGGAGATTCTACCATGCTTACCAGATCCAAGCAGTCGGTCTGAAAGTGGACGGATATGATCTGTCTATCTCTCGCGCAAGACATTGCCCATAGGAGGCTCTCCAATTCGGCATAAAGGGCCGAAAGGCTTCTCCGACAGCCCTGAAGGCCAAAGATCTCTTCACTCTTATTCTTCCTCAAACACCACCCGAGCCCACTCACCAGACCGTTTTCTATCCAAGACGCATCGACCTGGCAGATCGGGAACCTCTGGGCATCAGGTAGAGATGACGGAGTTAGAGGAATGGGAGTAATCTCATCTATTGCGTCCTCGTCTACTTCCGGTTTGTTTGCACTCCTCCAGCTTTCTGCTTCAATATTTGCGTGGATTAAGGTATCTACCGGGGGAATTTCTTTCCCGTTAAAGATCTTGTCGTTCCTGGCTTTCCAAATATACCAAAGGATCCAAGGATAAATATCCTTTTGTGGATCTCTCATGCCTAGCTCTTTTGTTTTCCAAAAGAGGAAGCTCATATTTTGGTAAATAGAGGTACTCGGGAAGAGGCCCGGAAAGGACGGAAAGTCCGATAACGCCCAGACTTGTAAAGCCAGGGGACATAAAAATAGAAGATGGTTGATAGATTCTTCAGGGTTCCCGCAGCGGGGACACCACCTATCTGTTCCCAAATGCCTTCAGGTCAGGTTTTGGCAAGTAGCAATGCATCCTGATAAAGCTTGCCACATGAGATGTTTCATTTTTCCAGGTGTTCGTACTTTCCAAACATAACTTTGAAGGGCTGTAATACTTGGTTCTCCCACCACATCTGAATTTTGAGCAAGCTTCGCTCTTCTAATCATATCATAACCCGATTTAACCGAATATATCCCTGATTTAGTGTGGTTCCATGCATATCCATCTAGGTTACGGTTTCTAGTAGGTCTCAACCCAAGGATAAGCGAGACATCCTCAGGTTGGAAGCAGACTCTTAGGAGAGGCTCATCCCATTGTTTCGTATCTTGATTGATAAGATGATATTCTAGCATTCCTGGATCTTGAAAGCCGATTTGGGGGGCTGCTCTTGGAGCTCGTGCTCTAGCATCGGGGATCCAAGGCTCACTCCAAACTCTAGTGTTGAGTCCCGACCCGATTGTCTTCCTGAGTCCCAATTTGAGGTACGGTTTGGCAGCCAACATACTCCTCCATCCATAAGATGGTGAGTAGACTTTTCGGTTCTCTAATGGATCAGATTGTCGAAAGTATCTTCCTCTTAGCACTCGAGCCAGAAGAGAGTTTGGATACTGAATGAGTCTCCATAGCTGCTTGGCTAGTAGGGCTAGGTTAAAATCGTTAAGATCCCTAAATCCAAGGCCTCCCATATCTTGGGGAATGCAAATCTTATCCCATGCAATCCAATGTATTCCACTGTTATGTTGTTTCGAGCTCCACCAAAAATTGGCAATAGCGCTACGGAGTTTGTCTGTTATCCCTTGTGGAAGAAGAAAGCAAGACATGACGTAGGTTGGAACGGCTTGAGCCACTGATTTGATCTGAATCTCTTTTCCGCCTTTGGAAAGAAGTCTTGCAGACCAATTATTGACCCGGGAACTAAGGCGATCATGGACAAAAGAGAAGACTTTCTTCTTTGATCCGCAGATTTGCTCTGGGAGGCCTAGATACATGCCCATGCCACCTTCTGTCGAGATGCCGATGGTATTTTTAATAGCTCGTTTTTGGTTCGGATCCACTTTATTTCCGAACATGATGGATGATTTTCCCAGGTTAAGTTGTGCCCTGATGCTGCTCCATAAGTGTTTAATATTCTGAGAATCTTTGCTCCCTGTTGTATGTTTGCTCTACAGAAGAACAGGGTATCATCAGCAAATAGTAGGTGGGACACTGGAGGGCTTGCTTGGGCTACCTTCAGCCCAGAAATGCGTTCTTCTTCCTCAGCACCTTTGAGGAGAGAAATCAGGCCTTCTGTGCACAAGATAAAAAGGAACGGAGAGAGAGGATCTCCTTGCCTTAATCCCCTTGATGGTTTGATGTGTCCTTTAGGTTCTCCATTAATAAGGACTTGGTATGAAACCGAGGAGATGCAATACATAAGTAACTCAACCCATCTCGCCGAGAAACCTAGCTTAATCAGGAGGGCTTCGATGAAACTCCATTCAACCCGATCATAAGCTTTGCTCATATCTGTCTTTATGGCCATAAAGTTTTCTCTACATATGGTATTGGTACGGAGTGCATGAAAGTTTTCTTGGGCTAACAAGATATTGTCAGTTATAAGCCGTCTAGCCATGAAGGCCGATTGTGTTTCCGAGATGATGTTAGGTAATGTCTTTTTGAGCCGTTTACACATAAGTTTGGATATGATCTTGTAACTCACATTACACAGACTGATTGGGCGAAATTCTGCCATCGCTCTGGGTTTGTTTCTTTTCGGAATTAGACAAATGTTGGTCTGGTTGAGTCTATGGTCAAAAGTTCCGGAGCTAAAAAAGTCTTTAACAAGTTTTACTGTGTCTTGGCAGAGGATAGGCCAGAATTTTTGGTAGAATTTGCTCGTCATTCCATCAGGTCCAGGAGCTTTATCCGGGTTAATATCAAAAAGGGCTTCTTGGATTTCTTTTTCAGTTGGATCCTTCAGTACTAATTGGTTTGCATTATTTGATACTTTCTCGGTAATAAACCGGAGCGAGATTGTCGGATCAGAGGGGATAGATGAGGAGAAGAGCTCTTGAAAATACGTGGAGGCCACCCGTTCAATCCCTCTTGCATTTTCCACCAACTGTCCGTTGTTATCTCTGAGGGAGACGATGCGGTTTCGAGCTCTCCTTTGCTTAGTGAGCGCATGGAAGAACTTTGTGTTTTTATCTCCGTCCTTGTGCCATTTTTCCCGACTCTTTTGTTGCCAAAAAATTTCTTCTTCCCGGAGAGCTTTGTAGAGTTTTCTCCTAATGTTTTCGATTTCCTCTAGCGTTGTATTGTCATCGTCTTGAGCAAAGTCCAATTGATTTTTTAATTCTTCGATCATCTTTTCCGAGTTAGTCGGGTTAGATTTTTTCCAGATGGAGATGTTTTTCCGGTATCGGGCCACTTTCAGGTGGAAATCTCGACGTGAGATTCCATCAAAAGGGCCCCACCTGGAAGTGACTGTCTCTTTGAATCCTGGTTTTCCAATCCATCTTTTATCAAAACAAAAGGATTTTTTCTTCCTTGTGTTTTCAGATTTAATCATAGCTAGGACAGGTCGATGGTCTGATCCCCAGAGTTTCAAGTACTCCGCGGATGAGTGGGGGAAAATAGATAGCCATTCTTCGTTTCCAAGTGCTCTGTCCAGTCGGCATTTGACTTTTCCAGATCGTCTTCTTCCCACCCAAGAGAAAGAATTTCCCTTGTAAGGGAGATCAAGAATTCTACAATTAGCTATCATAGTCCGGAATGGGATAAACGAGGTTTCAGAACGCCTGCGGCCTCCCCGTTTCTCGTGATTTCCGGTTATTTCATTGAAGTCTCCTATCATAAACCGTTTCCAGACATTTTCTCGGTTTTTAAGGACCGGATCACCATAGACGAAAGTCATAAAAATTTTATGCCCTTCTAGACTTGATTCAACGTCGATCATATGCTCATTAGAATAAATAATGGAAACTGTAGGTTCATCCATATAAAAAATGGCTAGACCACCGCTTCGACCTATTGGTTCAACGGTATAAACACGGTCATAACCAAAATATATTTGCATATCTTGCATAAATATCTGATTGTTCTTTGTTTCTGATAGAAATAAAAACCGAGGAAAAAAACAATGATAAAGTTCTTCTAAATGATCTTTCGTCAGATCGGCTCCTACGCCCTGACAATTCCATCCAAGTACATTCATTTCTTCTGATTCCGATTTGCTGGTTTTGGGGGATTTCTCAAACCAGAAAGTGGTTTTGGCTTATGGGCCTTTGTGATTTTGTCTCCCTTGGGCTTTACCCTGATCCTGCTCCTTTTTGCCTTTTCTTTTTGCTTTTGGAGAAAAATAGTTTTCACTAAGCCATCGCTTCTTCAACGAAGTCCCTTGGTACCGGAGATTTGGGGATTTGCTTCGACCTCAGATAATTCAGCATCCAAGATTGGAGATTTGAAAATTTGCTTCACTACTTAAAAATTCCAGTTCATCTTCCTCATATAAATCAGCATCATTAAGCCAATCATCTTCTTCCGTTATGGCTTCAATGGTGTTTGTAGTTTCGATGTTTAGCATCTTTCGCTGAATCCTTGTCAAAGACAAAGTTAATTTTGATTTTGTCGTATATAACCAGAAAGGTCTCCAGAGTTAGAAGTTTTAAGATGCTTAGAACAAGTCTAGAAGGATAGAGACATTTGGAAATTGCACAACCAGGACTTGTTTTTTCTCTTTCTTTTTTTTTCTGATGGGAGAAATCCAAACACACTCTCCTTCTTCTTCTTTCTTTTAATAGATCAACTAAATCATTCACAAGTTAAGAGAAAGTACTGAAAATCGTAGCACAAGGCTAGAATGTGATGACCATACTATACTTCCAAGAGCACATGACCATACTTCCCAAGAAGGGAGAAAGCTTCAGATCTGAATATAGGAGAAGCGGCTTCGTGAAAAACTGGGGTTCCAGCGAGTCAATCTGGGTTGATAGAGATGGTTCTTCAAGTGGTGGTTAAAGGAGAAGGAGACGCCGGAGACGTCAACCGATTCTATGCAGCGGCGCCGTCTTGATTTTCTTGCTTCAGGAGATGAGATTTGAAACCACACAACATTTCTGAGCTCGCAGAGAATTTATGGACTTCATATAATCTCCACCGCAGCCTGATAGAAGTTGTTGGCTTCGTCTTCAATAAAGAGGAGCACCGGAGCAGTTGTCAAGCATCGTCGGAAAGATTCAAAAATGAAATCAATGGAGAAAAAATAAGATCTGTAATCCCGTACAGACTACATCGGGAAATGGGCCAGAGAGCATTCCTAGTTTTTGCTGTTTCGTTTTACAATTCATCCTAACTAAATTTTGATTAGACTGTAAAAATACTGAAAACAATCTTTAACAAATCATTATTTAATTTTAAGGGAGGATTACTACACTAACCTTAGAAAGTATCTATATTACTTGTTTGGCGCACTTTTTTTTTTTTACAAAACTAACCTAACATACCCAAAACACCCTTTTCACCTTTGTTGAAAAAAATCTAATTACAAAAATGCCATTACTTTTTTAATGTCATGTAGGCAGAAAATAGCGCTGAAAATTTGATAAGTCTACCAGGCTTTGACGGTAGACTTATCAAATTTTGGTCAACGCAAAAATTTGTCGGTAGAGTTATTAGGACGATGGTAGAATTATTCGAGAGTTGGTAGATTTTACAAATGTTGGTAGACTTATCTTGGTAGAGTTTTGACGATAAGAGGTAGATTTATTATGTTTCGGTAGATTTGTTGTTATGAATGGAAGACTTGTCAAACGTGTTGGTAGGACTTGTTAAACAAAGCGTTGACTTTTTCGCATAGTTGACTTTGTCGGTAGATTTATTGACAATGAGGTAGATTTAATTTCTGAGTTGGTATACTTATGTCATTTGGCAGTAGATTTATGTGAAAAAGTTGTCAATACGTGACGGTAGATATATCTGTTTTATGGTAGAGTTATATCTAGTTGGTAGATTTTTCGCTTTTGTGGTAGATATGTTTGTTTTGTGGTAGATTTAAATTCAAGTAAAATTCCTTCCGGTGAGTGGTAGATTATTTGTTACATGAGGTAGACTTACAGAATATTGGTAGATTTATTTGTTTTGTGGTAGATATATTTGTTTTGTGGTAGATTTAAATTCAAATAAAATTCCTTCCGGTAAGTGGTAGATTCATTGTTATATGAAGTAGACTTACAGAATGTTGGTAGATTTGTTTGTTAGTTTGGTAGAGTTTATGTAATCTGGTAGAGTTATTGTACGTATGGTAGATTTCTTATAATAATCATGTGGTAGATTAACTAAGTTTGGTATTTACAAAGATAACCTCGATCTGGTAGACATATGAGGTGCTTATGGTAGACTTGTTTCTATGGTATAGTTATTTTTCATGCTTGAGGTAGACTTAGTTGTTAATGTTTGGCAGACATTTGACTTTTTGGATTGAAATTACTTTTTTGTCCTAAATGTATTCTGCAATCTACGAAAAACCAGAGGTGTGGTAGACTTGTTTTGGAGTGTCGTATGTTAAACAGGTTTCGTACATACATATGGTAGACTTGTTCCATGGTTATATTGACTTGGTCTTGTTACCATTGACGTTTTCTTTGCATGAGTTTGCTTAGATTATGTCGGTTAACTGTGATTCGATCACAGATGATTATTGGTCTTTACGATATAGATGTCATAATCAATGGTCAAAAATTTCTAACATGAATATTTTTTCTATGATATATCTTTTCTTTAAGATAACTTTGCTTTTCATATTAACTTTGAACATATATGTCATATTTGTATTAACCATCTCTTTACTTATGATCTTTTGATTTTTATTTTTGAATATTTGTTATATTTAACTCTATTTACATAAACTCTTACAACATCACAATGTCAAATGATTTTAGTCATGTGTTTTGATTAAAATTTTATTCAGTTATGATATACATCATAGTGAAAGTAAAGAAATAAATTGAATTGAATAATAACATTACTTGCAAATGTGGTAAAAATGTGAAATGTCTAGGTCAATGTTTTACGACAAATATAATTTGAAAACAAAAATATTATCATTTAAAATCTAATTATCATTTTTACAAATTCAAATATAGATATACCATCAATTTAATAATAAATCTACAATTATTTCAAAACAAATCTACCAAATACAAATCTACAATTCATAGTAAAATATGTCGGATCGATGCTGTATATCCCATCAAAGATTTGTTCACCATGGCAAAGCCCTGTCAGAAAAAAATAAACAAATAGTGTCATTCGTATATAAAATTCAAATATATACGACTGATAAATCTACCATAAGTAACTAATAAATCTACCAAACACATATCATTTTTCAAATAAGTTACCATTAAATGACTAATAAATCTACCAAACCACATCGTTTTACAAATAAGTCTATCATTAGATGACTAATAAATCTACCAAACGACATCGTTTTTTAAAATAATTTTACCACCAAATAACTAATAAATCTACCAAACCACATTACGTTTTCTAAATATATCTACAATCAAATAACTAATAATCTATCAAACTACATACCGGTTTTCAAATAAATCTACCATCACACATTATGAACTTTACAACTAAAAAATATAATATCGATCTCCAAATATATCTACCAAACTTATCTGAAAAAAATTAGGGTTACAGTTTATACAAAAAAACTTACGCCGCCGCCAAAAAACTTACACCGCCGTCAAGAGATCCAAGCGATTGAACCTTGCTGCGACTTCATAGTAATGGAGGAGAACCAGAGGAAGGTCTTCGGTCCAGTGGTAGAAGGCAGAAGGATCTAGACTCGAGGGAAGGACAATGATCGATGATAGGGACAAAATCGCTGTCTAAAGGGATGTGAGAGGTGCACTCGTGCCATCGGACGATTCTTGTGATCGACGGAGGCGAGAAAGGAGTGATCCACCGCCAGAATCAAGAAATGCGGCAAAAAAAAAAATTCAGATCTGGATTAGAGAAAAGCGAGAGAGAAGCGAGAGAGAAGATGAGAGAGAAGATGAGAGAAAATATGAGAGAGATAATGTTTTTTTTTTCATATTAGATATGTTATTTTTTTGTTTTTGTATTTATTTTTTTGCACTAATAAATCATTTTTTTAATAAATAATTTTTTTCAAAAAAAAAATAAAACAATTTAAAAAAAAAAAATCGATTTTTTAAAAAAAATAATAAATTAAAATGGCATTTTCGTAATAATATTGACTATTTGGACAAAATGGTAAAAGACCAACTTTATAAGGTTAGTCTAGTAAGGTGATCAATATGTTAGGCTAAGTTTGTCAATACATCAATCTTTAAGGCTAGTCTGAGGAATTTTCACTTATTTTAACGCGGAAACAAAGATATTGTGGATCAATATTTATTGTTTTTGTTTGTATATATAATGATGGACTCCAATCCTCAATCATGCTTTGAAAGTTTGTTTCTACGCAAATATTATAGTTCAAGATATTAGATATGTATCCCATCCATTCAAATCATGCTCTAAAGACATTTCATTTATTCTTCCTTCTATCGACCCTTGTCTTTACTGAGTTTTTCTCTATGCATTAAAAAGTTTAGTAAAATTTCGGTTATTAAAGAACTAACAACTGCTGTGTTCATACCCTAGTCGACAAACAACTAGTTAAATCAACTAACTCGTTGATTAAATTAACAAGACATTGTCAGAGAAACAAACGGTCAACTGAATGTTTACCCCAACCACCAAAGTAGCCTCCATAACAGTATAAAACAGAAATCTACATGATCAGGACAGGATATGTGAATGATTAATGCAAGACAGGACAAGTACAGACTGCTATTTATGTCAGAAAAAAAATTTCTATGGTTGTAAGAGTTTGTCTTCTACAACTTAACCAAAGAGTTTGTTGGCTCAATATCAAGGTTGGTCCATTATTCACTACACTATATTGGCTTTGCAATGTTCATGTAAGACATGAGAGAGATAAATAGAAATTTGCCTTTCATGAAGTTTTAATTCAGATCTTTTTTACTAGAAGTTCATTAACTACAAGACATCTTTACAAACCATGTAAAAAGTATAAGAAACAATGAATCACGTCCCCTTTTTAGTATAGTTGTACATATATTTTGCATGTTTTAAAAAGTTAATTTTCCTAGGTTTTAAACTCCATTTTGTATACTTGTTTTGGACATTTTCATGCATTTGAGTGTCATTTAGTATTGTCTTGCATTCTAGATGTCTGAGATTATCTTGGTATTCTTTTTGGTCTTTTGTGTTTACTTAAGTTCTTGGGAGTGGCTTGAATCAAATTAGATTCCAAAAATTAAAATTGAGAAAACTAAGAACAACCGGAATTTCAAGTCACAGTCATTTGTTAATAACTTGCTGTCAGTCGTTTCCGTTTCTTTTTCATCTTGTGTTTGTTCGAATATTAAAACTACTCAAATTCTTTAACCAATGATGATTTTAATGCGGAAACAAAGATATCGTGGGTCAATATTTATTGTTTTTGTTTGTATATATGATGATGATTTCAGAGGCTCAATCATGCTTTGAAAGTTTGATGGTACATAACTTTGTTATTCAAGATGTATGAATGTATCATATCAACCATGCTTAAAAGACAATTGATTTATTTTTCCTTCTATCAACCCTTTTCTGAGTTTTCTCTATTCATTAAAATTTAACCAAAAAGATTGGTCCATTGTTCACCACGCTATTATTGGCTTTGATAGGGTTTAATTGCAGAATTCTACCAACTGTCCTTTGAATTACTACGGATTAAAATCATTAGATACAAACAGTCTAGCATCGCAAAATGTGTGTTGTGACATTAGCAATAAAAAAGAAGACAAGAGCGGTCTCTAAGGCATATAATGTAATTCCGAATATATAAATTTGTACAAGAGAGTTGAAATCAAAGCTCTGTTTACATCTCATTGGAGAAGATACACTCATCCACGAGCTGACGAAGATTAGGATTCTCCAATGCAGCTATCACTCTTTCTTTATCATTCAGCTGTTTATTAACTGCAACAATAAATGACCCTAAGGTATCAAAGTTCAGAGAAAAAGAACATCAACTCTCTGACGAATACAAAGATAGAAAACCAGATTTTGCAGTGATGTTAGATTAGAAGCTGAAATATATCTAAGAACTAGGGACAAGTATAATTCTTTTTTATTGTAAGCTCTGAATTTGCTAAGCTTTATATAGAAAGCATATGACTTAAGCAGCTAGAACCATTTATATGACCTCCTCACCTGAATCTTCATCGGCGTGAGAACCAGGAGAGACTCTGATATCAACCTGAATATGAGTAAAACGAAACAGAAACAATCAAACATAGATAACAAGTAAGCTTTTGAAAGAATCTGTCATAATCAGAAAAGATTGAAGAGTTTTTCTTTAAAGGATATATGACCTTATAATGAAGTGGCAAACATTCTTTAAGCTTAGCTCTCAAACACAGACCAATTACATTTGCCATACTGCAATGCTGGATCGTCGGTGTAAACGTTATCCTGAGTTTATCACACAGCCAAATCTTAATGTTTTTTTGTTAAACATCTCAGCCACAATCGTTAAAGATCATATAAGTAAACACAACAAGGCCTTTTACACTCGGATCCAATTTCTATAACAAATCAATTGAAAAAAAAAGAAACTTTCTTCTGATAATCTACTCGCGTTATACCGCTAAATAAAAAGAAAAAGATTGAACAATAAAACAACCAAAGATGAAGTTATATAACTCACAGGATGCGATCGAGCTTGTCATCGACAGTGATGGAATCTTCGGACAGAACACTTAGCTGCTCCAAGGTATAAGGATGTTCTGGATCTCTTATATCTCTTACATACTTTGGTCTATTTTCGTCAAAAGAATCCAAAATATACATATACAAAACTCCAAGAAAAAAAACAGAGAGCAATATTCCAGAATAGATATCAGAAACAAAAATCAGTAACTGAATTGATCAAACCAAATTCAAGAAGAAGAAAGGATATCATATATTTCGAGAGGATCAACCCCATCATCTCTGTATTGATCTCGTGTACGAGTAAGCCGCTCCTTCTTAGCCTGCACAACTGGATTCGCGTTTATCAGTCCCAGAGTCATTTCTTCTTTCCTTCTCTCTTTACTTCCTTCTCAGTACGGACAACCTAATTTTTGATTGACTTAATTAGTTCTCTGCTAACAAAGGCTCACGGGTTCAAATCCCCAGTAGTGGATATATAAATAATGTTTTCTTGTTTGCTCTATGATATGATTGGATCACAAAAAGTCAGGTTCTTTACTGTATCGCAAGTTTTCCATTTCCATTGTTTTAAGCAACACAAAGAAAGAAGTAATCTTTTCAAGCCTCCGAATTGGGATGAAACAGTTTTCATTCATCACCAACATTTGACAAAACAAATTTCTTCATGGTATGATCTCTCGGTGCAAAACGGTAAACTACAACTCCGATTCGAGAACCTTCTTGAGGATCATCACAGTGTATAACACCAACATCGAAGAGCTTCCGAGCTTTCTTGAAGAAGATAGATTCTTTCTTCCATCTCTTGAGATGAGCCATAAGAAACACTCTCTTTGAGTCTTCTTTTTTATCATCTCCTCCTAAGAGCATCAAACGCAGCGTTTTAAGGAGAGGCTCGTAAAGATGTTCATGGTAGACCACATCAGACGCTAAAATCAAGTCAACACTTTGACCCAAAACCTCCACGTCACCATCTTCTCCCCACCTGAGAGCCGCCACGTGGATTTTCCCACCGGATCTAGCCACGACTTCAGCGTTCGCGTCGGCGTTGAATCTGAGATTCTCGATAACGTTTGGGAGATCCGTCAATGTAACATTGGCTCCTAACGTCGCGGCCGCAGCGATTCCGACGATCCCTGTTCCGGATCCGAGCTCGACGATGTTGAGCCGCGTAGAAGAATCTGAGCCGTCCGATGTGAAACTCGAGAGTGTGCGAGTGAGAGGGCTGTTGATTGGGTCACGACGGTAGTTATCGAGAAGCGTGACGAGAGTTGTTGCAGGAAGCCAGAGCTTGAAGGAGATGCCTTGAGACGGTAACTGACGAATCACAACCGTTGATTCGATCGAGTGGATCCGGCACATCTGAAGCTCCGATGCACCGTCGATTATAAGCATTTTCGTGTGGTCTTCTTCTCCACCATCTTCTCGGAGAGTGTCAGTAACCATTGATTTGACCAAATCCTCGCGACGGCGCCGATTCTATCCCACATTTAAATTAGGGCATTTCGAATTTGTTTACACGTGGGAAGTTCCCATTAGTCATGATGTTATATATAATAACAATTCGGAATAAGCCTCTGCTTTAGACGGAAGGTTACTGGTTGAATATGTGAGATCGGAGTTTTCGAGAGTTTCGGCGAAGACGGAGAAAGAGAGAAAGAAGGAGGTGAAAAATGATAAAGGCAGTGTTGATGATGAACACACAAGGCAAACCACGGCTAGCGAAATTCTACGATTTCTTGGTCCGATGCTTGTTGATATATTGTTTTTCAATTTTTGGTTTCTTCGATCTCTAGTGACCGATTCTCAACTTGGGTTTTTCATTTTGGGATTTTGGTTTCAGCCTGTAGAGAAGCAACAAGAGCTCATACGCGGAGTATTTTCAGGTTTATCCTTCTCTCTTTATCTCATTTGATCCTCGAATTTTCCCAGATTCCAATCAACAATCACCTCGGCATCTACGAATCCATGCTCCTGAACGTTTTTATAGTCTTATGTTTCTAAGATCTCCGTCGATCGTGTGCTATATATGGTCTTTGTTACGATCGCTAGAAGCTGCGATTCTGATTTTTCTTTTATCAATTTGTTACAGTATTGTGCAGTAGACCTGAGAATGTAAGCAATTTTCTGGAGATCAATTCATTGTTTGGCCCGGTAATGGCTCCTTCATGATAATACTATGTAATTTCAATGCTTGGTTACTCAACAGAAACAACAACAACAAAATTGTTTAGTGTATCCCAAATTTTTTTGGCGACTTATTATTATGTATTGTTGTTTATTGTTTGCAGGACTCTCGGCTTGTATACAAGCACTATGCTACTCTCTACGTTGTGCTTGTTTTTGATGGTTCGGAAAATGAGCTCGCCATGCTTGATCTCATTCAAGGTGCGTACACCAATTTTTCTCTTAGATATCATATTGCAAACGGAGATTTTGCTAAAATCAACGTCTTCCCTCTGGAGCTTCCGATAAAAGTTATTGTGTTAGGTCTCAGTAAGTAGATGTTAAGAGGAGTCTGAGATTGCAATCAGCTTCGAGGATGTAAAATATAGAAACAGAGACTGTAGGAATCAGAATCTTGAGTAGTAAAATAGTGCATTGTCTTAACTCTTTCATTAGAGCTTTTTGCCATGAATCAAGTACAAATGTGTCTGGATAGTGTGCCCGATCAGCTAGCATGTATAGGATGTGGTTAACGTAGCTCTTGATGTTAAATTCTTTGGGTTGGTAATGGTTTGGCTCGATACTTGATACTCTTTAATCAGATCTCGGTGGTAGAGTGTTTTCCTTTTTGTGAATAAGCGACATAATTGGCTCGAGTACTATAATCATGAACTCTTAGCCAAATCTGAATAAGAGACATAATTGGCTCGAGTACTATATCGAGTCACGGATGATGTTGAAGATATGAATCGTTGCCAAATCTTCTGCTCATTTGCTTTTTTTCTTTAAAGCTGTGAAAATGTAAATTCTATTGTATGATGACTTCAGTTTGATTCTTGCATTGGCAGTTCTTGTTGAAACACTTGACAAATGCTTCAGTAATGTCTGCGAACTCGACATTGTGTTCAACTACAGCAAGGTAATAGTCTTACACAGAATAGTGTTTTACCGTCATGTATACGGTATTATAATAAAAAGCTGGTGCTGCATACTCGTTTGGACGCTTTTTTGGGATAACTAAATGCAACAAAAGCGCGTAGTATTAGGACGTTGAGTCATCTTCTTTCTTTAATTTATTCCACATGTTGCAGATGCATGCCGTGTTAGATGAGATTGTGTTTGGAGGACAGGTACTTGAAACTAGTTCCGCGGAAGTCATGAAGGCTGTTGAAGAAATATCAAAGTAGTTCTCTCTTCTCTCTCCATCTCTCTCTCCCTCTAGTGTTGTCTGCTTTTGTGGTGTGGAAGTAAACAGTTTTTTCTTTCGCGCATTGTGCAGATTAGAAGCTGCCTCGAACTCGATTTCGCTTGTCCCGAAGTCTGTTTCCGGGTGGCGTGGTCGTTAGCTTCATACCTTATTTCAACGGTGACAGAGAAAGAGTCAGTTGAATATTGAAATTACTTCAAAGCCTTTGTAATTCAACTCTTCTTTTCGGTGTTTGTTTATACGAACTGTAGTAGTCTTCTCTTGCTTTTTGAGCATGAAATGGTGGTTACATGGGTCATGGGCTTCAGTGGTCTAACATGGGCCTGTGAATCGCAATGGTGAAGTTGAACTGGATGCAGTTTATGAATATAAAAAACGGCCAGAAGTTGAGATCTATAAGCGTCAATTGGTGACCATTTTAGTTTATGTGGGTTGAAGGAGATAGAATAGATAGTAGAGGGGCTAAAAGGTAATATATATATTAGGAGGAAGTACGAATACGCCGAACGGCGTGCATTGTAAAAAGAGTCAAAACGGAATTCGATGGGGGAAGACAGAAGATTCGAAAATGGTTGAAGTGCCAATTCATATCAAAATATCATTCTGCCTTTTGAAATTCTTATGATCCATCCTGCATTTTCCAGTTACAGGCTTTTGACCTTTTTCATACCCAATAGAGATATGTATGTGTATGTGTATCTATACTTTTGAATATGCAAAAATACAAAATGTTTTTACGTTGATCCAAAGTTTGTAATGGTTAACCAAATGATGGTATATATCTCAACAGTAATTCATTCGTCTAGCCTAATATAATGATCAATTATCATTGTACATACATCTTTTTTTTACTAGCGGTGAAACAGTTTTGGGAGATCAAAAATAAAATAAATATTAACAATAATTCGACGATTATCCGAGTTAAGATGGAGTGTTTCCCTCTTTATGCTCCAAAGCTATTGGGCTACAAGAACAAGAAAAAAGTTGAAAGTTTTGTGTTGTGTTGAAGACAAAAGAATATAAGTGGAAGATTCAAAGTGGAGTGATTGGGAAACGTTAACAGCAAAAAAAAAAATATATATATATATAAAAAGAGAAACTTGTTGGGTAAAGATGATACAACAAATCAAATACAGTATACATTAGCCCTAGAAGAATTGGTCAAGCTAGCAAAGATGTACCATGGACCAAAGTGACCACCTTTGATCATATTTATGTATACATATCTCATGTTTTTCTTTTTGTATCATGATTGATACCTCTCCCAATCTTGGGGCATTCCTCTAGTTGGTCCAACCATTTTCTTTTTCCTCTTTTGCCCTTTTCACTTACATTGGACCACTCCCACATTTGTTTCTAAATTTTTTTTAGTGCATCTGTCTCTTTTATCTCATTTGATATATGCGATTGATTTATCCATTACCTATAAACGAATAAGAGACGATTGTTTTTTTTTTTTCATTTTGGAAACAAGGGTTTGCAAAATGCGATTGATTCATTCATCCTTTACGACTTTACCCCCTAAGATTTTCAAATATATCAAACTTACATCTTTTATTTTACGTAAATGATTTTGGGCTTACTTAAAGTTTACTAATTATTTTACATAATTAGTAAAATTTTGAGTACAGGATTATATTCTACCAACACCAAGATTGTTAATTATATTTGATATATTTGTTTGTTTAAGATAATTTGTGTTTCAGAACAATAAGAAAATATGGAGCTAGGCCTATATTCCAGTCAACCATATTACTTACAACATATAGCTTAAACTTTTTAGTATATAAAATCTGCGAAGACCTCATAACAATAACATGAATCCTTAGGAAATGTGAAGAGACGCTTTGGAGGGGACAACATGAGGTTACAGGAGCCGTAGACAAAAACAAAATATGGTCTTAACATATGACAGCTGGAATTTGTATTGTTATATTTATAATTTAATATAGTTAACCGTTTAACAAAAAAAAAAAAACAAATCGAGGGACATGTTTTATTGTGTGTATATAGGCTTCTAAAATTCCAACTAATTCGTTTAAGTAGAAACAAAAATACAGTAAGTCCTCATACCTATTTTGGTGGTAAATTTTGTTTTTCCAAAATTAATACTCATTAATTTCCAAACATCTTATAAGTGACTGCAAATGGAAACTATAACAACTTCCACGAATTAAAACTTTGTTTTAAGTACATTTTGCCATAGAATACCAGTCTAAAATCTATAATAATTAATAAACTCCATCAAAAACCAATCCATTTATTTAGACCTTATTTTGTTATAAAAAAAGTATTGATCTGTTAACTAAACTACTTATATAGCCCACAATATTTTTCACAATATTTTTGTATGTATCTGATACTATAAAAGTAGAAAGCATTATTAGTTAGCCCCTATAATGATTTTTCGTTTTTTAAGAACGCATACCATACAAACAGAATTTTCAAAAAAAAAAGAGAGAAAGCAGAATCCATCAAAAGGGCAGAGAGAAGAAACATTCCAGTCGTGTTTTGTAACTTTTGAGGAATGTCCCGTTTTTTTATTAATGTGACCAAGACGACTCCTAAACCAACACATATTATATTAAATTAAACATTAATTAAACTTAGTCGTTTAGTGACTTATCATTTGATTGCTTTACATGCATGCATGCGGAGAATTAAATCTCGCGGCTTTATCCACGTGGCACCCTGATTAACGACAAAGCGATTAATTCACAAGTAATCGACTCATCGTCACCAAAATTTTACGATCTCTCTCTCTCTCTCTCTTGCTTTTATGTTTCTCGGAACTCGCGAAACTTTTTGGCAACGTTGTGGGTCCTGCCGAATCCACCGAAGCCAACATCATCATCATTTGCATTTGCATTATCATCAAACACCGTGTAGTTTTATTGCTCTCATACCGGACTACGAGCCGGTGTCTTCCTTACCTTCTTTTTGTTTTTCGTATAGCCGTTTGATTGTTCTTTTTTTTTACTATAAAACTCTTACATACACAGATTGTTAATACGTATAAATTGAAATGTAAGCTGTAAATTTTAGCTGAATAAGTTAGATGTTTTTTCGTTAAAACAACTAGATGTGCGCATAAAGAAATTTCAATTTTAAGATTGTGGTTTTCCTGAGCAAGTTTGTCTTCCTTTAAGCCTAGTTTAGAAATTTCATTCTTAAATAGAAAGATATGATTAAAATATTAAATGTATTGAACAGTTTAGAAATGTGTGATCAATGTCGTGCTTAGAGTGTTAGAGGTTTAAGGCAAATGACAAGAAAAAATATACTCTCTCTGTTCCAAAATAGATGATGTTTTAGGATTTTTCTTTGTTCCAAAATAGATGATGTTTTAGAAATATTTAATGCTATTACAGTTTACAAGAAAAATTTAATAATATATTTTATTTAATTATTATGAAGTAATAAATTTTTATTTGTAAACAAACCAATAGTATCAAGTGATGGAGCTAAAATTCATTCATAATGATTATAGAGCATTTAATAAGTATGTGAAAAACAAATTTTAGAAAGTGAAAAGATAAAAAAATAGCTAAAAACAACACATATTTATTGTTTCTTAATAAGAGTAAAATTTCTAAAACATCATCTATTCCGGAACAAAGAGAGTATATTTTACTATAATTATTTCTAAAAAGATATAAGCTGTAAATCAGATTTAAATATTATTTTATGAAATATTAAAGATTACTAGTGCTATTTTTTAAATTATAAGAATTTTCAACCATAAAAAATAACACCAAAAATACATATTAATTAATATATTAAATAAAAATACAAAAAATTAAGAGTCCTAAAACTTGATTAATATTAAGGAGGCATAAGGCAAATGTCTTATTTTGTGTTCATTAAACACGCCCCGTGTGTGATTAAAGGAGTATGCTATTTTATATCGAAACTTAATTAAATCATGGGGAAATTAAGGTAAAATTAAGAATTTAAATTATGTGAGTGATTATGTGTTATCATTGAATTAAAATAATTCCATATAAAGCAAATCCCGGGGTATAATTACGGAAAGCCGATCTCGTGCCTAAAATTAATTATACGTAGTTTATTTATGGGCATTAGCGAATTGTTTGGTTTATTCAAAATCAATATTTAAAACAACGCGCCGTTTAAGCCCGTGAGTTAAAGAAACATATGGTTGGATGGGGGCGTATTGATCACGGATGGTTGGGTCGCGTGAGATGTAAGTAGCTTTGCATGTAGTGGCGAAACGTAACGCTTTGTGTCTCGGGGTAATCACGGTTTTACAATTTCGAGTTTAGCAAAATTACTATAAATTACGTACAATAATTAGAGTTTTAAATTGTTTAAATACAAACGTTCGACAGAGCATCTTTTGGAAAGTGGTGGTCGTCCCGTTAGTCGAACTAAGTTCGGCAATCTCAAGACGATCTGATTTTCACCTTTTTATTTTTAAATTTCCTGTTTTTCAAATGTTTTTTGTTTATGTTTTTGCTAAAACTGTTTTTTAAATGTTGTTCTTAAATGTTAGGAATTGATAGGTAGATTGCGAAACTACAAGCTCGCTCTCTGATCTTCTTTCATCTCTTGTCTATTTTAATTTTAAATAAAATAGAAACATAATTTCATCTATTGGACTCAACGGAAGTTATAATTTTCAGAGATTAAGAATAAGAAACCCTTCTGTGATTATCTATCGAAACATATACAAGCATTTCTTCATAGCGTATCATTATAATTTGGCTATAGAGAAAAAAGAAGTTATCATGTGGTATTACTATTAGGTATAATGATTTTAAGAGGTGGGTCCAATAGCTTTTTCTTTGTTTCTTTTCACTAGTTCAAGATCAAATTTATGGGGAGTATTATTAGTTTTTGACCTTTCCTTTTTAGAGAGTCCTTCTTTGACCCATCAAGATTCAAGAGCCGAATCTCTCTCTTGCTAAGCTAAGATAACATGAAAACTGAGAAAAATATTATTTAAATATAAAAAGGAGATCTATAGCTCATACATGTGTATGCATAGGCTAATTGGAGTGTTGCTTTGATGATTGTAGGAAGGTACTTCACTTGAATAGAGGGGATTCTTCCTTTATCTTTTGGGTTATTCACAATCTAATCTATTAGCTTTTCTTTTCATGCAATATTTTTCTTGTTACTCTAAACTCATCCAAATCTTCTTGGATATTCTCATGTCATTATGATTCTAACTTCGTATTCTCTTTATTAAAAACCACACAAGGAATTTGATTCTCATAGGGTTTCGATACGTTACTCAACTATACTACGACCATGATTCGTTCTAACGAGACCGTTGAAGGCTTTTTCTGTTTAACGTTAATATCATAAACTATCTGAAGATGTTCTATATTTTTTTGTTAAAGAAGATGTTCTATATAATTGTTGTATTTTTCTAATCCCTTAAAGAATATTTTATAAGCGTCTCATTTCTTTTTCTAAACGAGATTGTAATGAAATACACATATATGAAATACGTAAAATGTCTTCATTATTAAGCCATACGCGACGTTGTTTTCGATCACTTTTTTTTGTTAATAACATGTATTTTTCCAACTTTAAGTTTAGAAAGACATCGACCACATACTTGCACAGATATTGGTTTTGGCACATTTGAACACCCGATAGGTTGTTTTTTGTCGGACTCGTATTTGTTACCGACTGGTTATGTTGACTTAATTACAATACAAGGTGAACATCGCACTCTTTCGGATCACCCAGTGTTATCCAAATAAATCGATTCAAAACATTGTGGTTCTAATTAAACCTATATATAGCTTACGATGTTCCTTCGTTGAACTAATGTCAACCTAAATTATGTGACATTTCACATGATACCAGGGACTGATCTATTTTGTTGGGTAATGGATCAATGGCCCCAAATCCTTTTCCAAAATTTACTTAATTACATATGAAAATATGTTTTTACTGGTAAAATTGGATACGTTTTTTCACACCATCCTCAATTGCTCACATACATCTTAATACTCATATTTTTGACAAAAAAACACACTCATATTTGTGTTTGCTTTTTCTTTTATAAGATAGAAACTTTCATGTAGAAGTGCAATATTTCTCATGACTAAAAATAGTTTTTAACAACGTTAAATATATTGTTCAAAAACAAGACAACGTAAACACATATAACTGGATTATGTTGACATGGGCATATTATATTACTTTTTTTTTCAAGCAAACCGCAGAAATTTTGAAATTTTGGTCTATAATTTTTTGGTTATTGTCAGTAATGTTGATGATATCAGTTGTATGGCATAAATACATTTTAAAATATTTATAATCTTATTTAAGAGAAGTACATAAATGATGGATCCCCCCACCACGACTGCATATCTAACTGAAGCTGTTCTCCTACCATTTATCTACAAACGTAACAAAAAATCTCGAGTCCATGTTTTGAAGAAATGGTGGGTTTTTATTAATTAAAGCACAAACATACAAATCGATTAATAAATATGGGACGAAGACTAGTATTCGTTGACGACAAGAGTAGAGTAGAGCCTAGCTATAGCTACAAGTTTTGAGGAAATCTAATAACCAAATCTAAGTCATTTTTACTTACATCATCATGGATCATCATTAACCACATGAGGCTGAGCAGATATCGAACGTGTGATGGCGATGTGGAAGTAAAAGGACGAGGCCACGCGCGAGTGGGCAGGAGCGCGTGCGATTCAGGGTTTTAGGGCAGAGATACGGAAAGAGACAGAGGTTTATAGCATTATATATTGGAAGAGAACAAATAAAAAATCAAAAATTGAGCCTCGTGATCGGAGATTTTTTTGCAGTGATGACTGTACTCTTCTTCCTCTTCTCTATCTCTCTCCCCCTTGTCACGTGGGCTAAATTTTGACCACCCTTCTTCAGTGACCATCAACATCACATCACTCTCTCCTTCTTCTTCGATTTTTTTGTTGCATGCTTTAATATTTCTTCTCCACTAAAACCGATAATTTTCAAATCCTTCTTACAATTATGTATATTTAGTAAACATTCGTGTGTGAGTGACATAATAATTGCTTTAAAAAGCTATAACGAATTAACAAGAGTTGTAAGTATGAGGGTCCAAAAATTGTATGTTTTTCATCCGACCCCGCCTTGTCATTTATTAACCTAAAGATCAATCGTATCTATTTAAATAAAAGTTTGATGTATAGTATTTGGAAGCGACATAAAATGAATGATTTCATTTTAGCATATGTTACCAAATGTGTTCGTCTTAAATTTACCATTACAGTCGAAATTTGCATCCATCGACCAGCTCATAGTTTTGCTCAGAATAAGTTTCTCTACACAGTTCAATTTTTGTAACTTATATTTTCGGTGCGATTTCTTCTTCTTATAGATGGATAATATCAAATAAAAATCCATACTAATTCTCTTGGTGTTTGAAAGAGCCGAGTAGTGTTATATACAAGATTCGATGCAGTGGCCAATGAAGAATACAATTGATGTTCAAACCTTAAGTTTTTTTAAATCTTCTCGGTGAATCACTCAACTATACTAGAAACCCCACTAATTGTATTTGTTCTATATTCTATTGGTATTTTTATAATGTGTGTCATGTCAATCTCCGTAGCTTATTGTCCTTTTGTCTAAATGCTAAGACACGTCCTTAAGGAATTAATATCATTATTTTTTGAAAACAGAATATAAAAAAGATAAGCAAATTAACTTGAAATAGTCTATTTTGATTCAATAAATTATCAACGCCATCACAGAGATTCTATATAGAGCAAGCATGTGTGATGTAATTAGAAACTATAAACAGTGATTAAAATACTAATTTCTTTTAACTTAGCTGTCTAAAGAAACTTGATAGTATCATCGTATTTTGTAATAAAATAAAAAACATAAAAAGCAAGCAAACCACCATATGAGTAAATGATACTATAAATTTAAATTACTTCGTAAAAAGCTGCGTCCCCACATATTCTATTGATTTTAAATATTCGTTTTACGAAAAACCTGCATATACACTTCTGATTCTATATATAGCTGTGAGACCCTCTTCTCCATTCTTCACTTCACTCCAACGTGAAAACCTGCAACTTAAATTTATCACCTCATATTATCTTTCGGTTCTTTTAATTGAGACTTAGGGTTTTCAAAGTTAGGAAAAAGAGAGAGTGAGAGAGATGATGCAGACTCCGTACAATACTTCAACGCAAGGGCAATATTGTCATTCTTGTGGAATGTTCCACCACCATAGCCAAAGCTGCTGCTACAACAACACCTCCAACTCAAACGGCGGCTCTTACTCGATGGTATTCTCCATGCAAAACGGCGGCGTTTTCGAGCAGAACGGTGAGGATTATTACTCTTCCTCCGTCGTTGACTGCACTCTTTCACTTGGAACTCCTTCGACGAGGCTTTGCGAGGAGGACGAGAAACGCAGACGCTCTACTTCCACTGGTGCTTCCTCTTGCATCTCCAACTTCTGGGACTTGCTTCACACCAAAAACAACAACAACTCCAAAACGACGGCGTATAGCGACGTCCCTTCTTTCCCCTCTGCTAATCCCATCAAGCCAACACGCGGCTGCTCCGGCGGTAACGGCGGTGGCGGCGACTCTCTCCTCGCCAGACGCTGTGCCAACTGTGATACCACTTCTACTCCACTATGGAGGAATGGTCCTAGAGGCCCTAAGGTAATTTCTTTACATTAGATCATTATGAAAATGCAACTTCTTCCGAGTAATCAACAAATAAAACAAATATTGCCAAAAAAAAAAAAACATTTCATCCTTTTTTTACCAATATTATACTGTTGAAAATAGCATTAAATATAGTGATTTTGATTGTTAAACAAGGTGATTGATTTCCATTAATTTCATTGAATGTAGTTTTTCGAAAATTCAAATGTGACCTTATATATGAGAAGGAGTATATTTTTCGAATATTTTAATTTCTCTATAGCTATATAATATTGAAAACGCCATTAAATAATGATATTGATTGTTAAATGATATATGGATGGTTTTGGAATTTACAGTCCCTATGCAACGCATGCGGCATTCGTTTCAAGAAAGAAGAGAGAAGAACCACGGCGGCTTCAGGAAACGGCGTCGTCGGATCTCAACCGGTCGCAACCGATCAGTACGGACATCACAACTCCGGCTACAATAATTACAACATTGCCACTAGTAACAACAATAATAATGGTACTTCGTGGGGTCATCATCACACGACGCAGAGGGTTCCGTGCAATTATCCGGCAAACGAGATCAGGTTCATGGATGATTACGGCGGCGGAGGAGCTAACAACGGTGATTCCGACGGTGCTCCGTTCCTTTCGTGGAGGCTTAATGTGGCGGATAGAGCAAGTCTTGTCCATGACTTTACTAGATGAAAAAAAGAAAAAAAAAATTGACGTTAGATTCTTAAAATTTCCATGTTGTTTAATTATTTATTATGTCTATCTTTTTTTTTTAGAAAAAGAAGAAAATGTTTGGAAAAAAAAAGAGAGTAGAAGTGTATATCTAGAGAGATGATGTTGATGGTACTGATAGCGACGGTCTAACTTATGGTTTATCTATAAAGCACCGTTCTAGTCAATTTTTAAACAAATTTTCTATATTTATCTTCAAAATTTAACATCCTTCTTATGGAATTTTCTCTGCCTTCGTCTTTTTAAATAAATAAAATTCAAGAAACAGTGTGCGTGATGAACACATAAGTATAACACATCAAATCCACGCATAGTGATGTAATAAAAAACATTCGAGTGTTAGAAAAGAAAAAAAAATATAAGAAAAGATGTACATAAGTAAAACGCAGACATAGGATATAACTCTTTTAATGTATATAGTTTTTGGTTGAACGGAGAAGTTTCAGTTCCACCTGAGTCCCTGAAATTCACAACTGAGACTTTAATTATTATTGCTATTTTTTTACTGGTTGATGATATAAGTAAAAATAAATAAAATTTTGGTAGTGAAGATTGAAATCTGATCGTCGAATTGGGAGATTAGATTCTGATCGTACCAATGTGGGTTTACTCATGTCTGGGTACTGTTGTGTTTCAGTTTGGATCAGAGCATTGTAGTGATTTAATGAACTTATTTTTGTCGTATTATGCTCTGTTTCCTTCTCTCCTTTATATTTTGACCGTCGTTTTGTCCTTTTCTATTTACCTCTTTCTTGACCTTTTGTTCGTGTCAATATGCGCTCAACAGAATATTTGCATTATTTTTTTAACCTTTCTTTTTATTATTAGTTTTCCGATTTTACAGAACCGATTCTGCAACATTGTTTGTACTAATTCCACCAGCTTTTAATCTACTCTGCACGATCACACACACACACAAAAATTATCTTATTATTATAGTTATATTTGCTATCCAGTCGTCGTCGACATATATTCAACTTTTTTTCAATCTCAACCATAACAAATGATATTTTTTTTTACTTTCTCTTGCGCGATCATAAATTTTCAGTGTAGGTGGGCTAGTCAATGGGCCAGTTAAGAATTTAGTTGCACTTAAAGCGTGTGAGAAAAACAAACCGCTGTCTGCAATTTATGACCATAACCAGCTGAACATACCTATGATGATCGACCACCAATATGTTTTCTTGTTCGTTATATATATCCCATGTACCAAAAATCAACGTATGTTGATCATAATTGTTTCCTAGTTGTAAGTTCTACGACATTTTCATCAACTAACGATTAAACTTACGAAAAACTGAGACTTTTAGAAATGTTTTAAGTAATGACACTAGTAATCCGTCGCTGAAACTTTTCGCCTACGATTACGAAATGAAGCCGTTTCACTGGACATCGACAATTGTAAAACAAACATGTTAACTGTTAAGTCGTTTGTCCATATCGACGAAACGTACATTAGAAGTGCAATAGAGCCCAAAAAGAGTTGGTGGGCTACTAACGGGCCCATCGATACTGCTTGATGCCCAATTAAGAATTTGGTAAATTCTAAGTCTGAAGTTAATGAGGTTTACGATCACCGGACCACTGGCCAATTCTGTCGCCGCAATGTCTACCCGTCAAACCCTAAACGCCGTGAATCAGCCTTCATCGCCGCCGGATTCCTCAATTGCCGCCGAAATCTCAGAGCCCTCTCGTTCTTCCTCTTCTTCTAAAATCACATTTCGACCCCGTAAAATCAGGAAAGTTTCGTCAGTTCCTCTCGATTCGTCGCCGATGATGATCACCGCGTCTCCTCTATCGTCCAAATCGACGATTGATATCGCCCTCCGCCACCTACAGACCTCCGATGAAGTGCTCGGAACCGTAATCGCAGCTCACAACAACCCACCGGCGTTCGAATCAAGCAGCACTCCGTTTCTCTCCCTGGCGAGATCCATTCTCTACCAACAACTCGCCACCAAAGCAGCGAAATGCATCTACGATCGATTCCTCTCTCTATTCGACGGCGGAGAATCAGGTGTCCTCCCTGAAGCAGTTACCTCAATCTCCGCCGTTGATCTTCGTAAGATCGGCGTCTCCGGTAGGAAAGCTAGCTACCTCCACGATTTAGCCGGTAAATACACAAGCGGCGTGCTTTCCGATGAGATGATTCTCGAAATGAGCGACCAAGAGCTTATTGATCGATTAACGTTGGTCAAAGGAATTGGAGTGTGGAGTGTTCACATGTTCATGATCTTCTCGTTGCATAGGCCTGATGTTTTGCCTGTGGGAGATCTTGGTGTGAGGAAAGGTGTGAAAGATCTTTACGGTTTGAAAAATCTTCCTGGTCCATTGCAGATTGAGCAACTTTGTGAGAAATGGCGACCTTACAGGTCCGTTGGTTCATGGTACATGTGGAGACTAATCGAGTCTCAGAAGACATCTAAGACCAAACTGTCCAAGTAGCATTGAAAAAAAACAACACATTCATCTGACTGGTAATAATAATATTTCCCTGCCATAGATTGATATGTATATAGACAAGGTTGATTCTGTATAGTGTTACCAAGCTTGATAGTTTGCTTCAACATTTATTTGAAGTTAGTTTCCCGAATTGATATATGACTTATGATTAATATTGATTGATCTGTATATAGACAAGGTTTATTCTGTATAGTGTTCTCAAGCTTGATATTTAGGTTTAAAGTTTGTTTCTTGAATTGGTATATGACTTATGATTAATGATTGATATGTATATAGACAAGGTTGATTCTGTATAGTGTTCTCAAGCTTGATAGTTTGGTTCAACATTTATTTGAAGTTTAGTTTCTTGAATTGGTATACGGCTTATGGTTTAATAGCTTTTTTGATATTTGGAATAGATTCTATAATTTCACAAAATTTATAAAGCTAGCGTTTTTTTCTTCTTTTCTTGCTGTATCTTGTATATCGAGCATTGACCCTAGTAAGATGACTGATGGTATTATCCTTTTCTCAATGAAGCTTCTCAATGATTGTAATTGATCTGGGACCGTTTCATACACAAGACCCACTTGTTCTTGGTCGGCTAGGTAATCTGATCCTGTGACGAAGAAGCTATTTCGCGCCCACCACTTTATCTTCCCTTCTATTCAAAGCTTCACTTGTTCTTTCTTCCCTTTTTTTGTTGCAAGTTATAGCACGCGAGGGAAACCATATTTGTACTTTAACCTTATTCCACCGAAATTGAAGATTTCGAGGATGCCTGTGATTGTTGTAACTTGTAACCCTTAATGTGGAAATATGTATCATATCTGGTTTCATTTTGCTTGGTTCCAATTCTGTATATCCGCCTTTTGTTGGGCTTGACTCGATGTTTCAACCGGCCCAATTAGTTAATCAGAAAGCTTGGATCTGATTTTCCCTTTTTTAATGTCACATACGATAAACAAGCAACAACTTACCCCAACAAAAAAAAAGCAACATTTTCTTTGACTTGGGGGAGTTTTCCTTACGGAGACAATTTACTCGTATTAAGAAAATCTAAACTAAAGTCTAAAGATGTCAAATCGATTTTGAAAGTTTGTACTATATGGCAAATCGATTTTCATTGATTTCAAATATTTGGTAAATAAGAAGATCATCATAAAGTGTAACACAACTGTGGGAAACAAAGAATCTGAAAACAAGACAAGAGGCATGTGGAGATAAATAAAAGTGCAGGTCTTTGTGTTGTGCTTATGTGGACCATCTTTACACTCTTTCATGCTTTAATTCCTCAACCATCCCCACCGGAAAAATAATTAAATATGTCTTCTCTTTCAAGACTATGATTAACTCTGATTAGTTACTGTTAATGCTTAACCTATAAATGTCCATATTTAAAACCCTAATTTCGTATGGGAAATTGAAGCTCTGGTAAATACTCCATGCAAACCCCAACGCCACACCACAGTTGTTGATGTTACTTTTCTCATATTTATTGCAACATTAACTAAATCGGATAGATAAGTTGTGACGCTTGATAAGTAGAAATATTATTATGAGAGTGTATTAAGATCGACATACATTGTACAAGTATTTTTTTTTAGTAAAAAATTAATGCATTTAGTTAGTTCAGTCTTTACTAGGAGTACTTGGTAATAGTTACTTCTCATCTCTCCTCCTACCCCAAAAGTCTTTACTACTTGGTAATAGTTTGACTAAGCTAGAGTTTTTTGCAGACACACATTAATTAGTAACACCAATACCATCATCACAAAAGAAAATGGAGAAATAGAGAAGGCAGATGCAATAATGGGAGATGGGCCAAAGTTGCAGGTGGTGAGAGATAACAAACATATGACAATGTCTCTAAATTAAGAGGCACCACCACCTCTCTCTAGTAGGTTTAATTATAATTAAAAAACCTAAATCTTGTTGGATTTTCATGTGAAATAAACTTGATGGGCGATAGGAAACAGATGCACACACATCATCACCACTATCCTTTCTATTTCTCCCTCTTCTTCAATATCAATCTCATCTCTCACACTACTCTTCACTGAAACAATAAGTTCTATAGTCTCTTCAGGTGAGTCTCAAATCTATCCGTTTTCCGCTTAAATTCCCAAAAAATACAAATGAAAACATTATCCAAATGAGAGATTTTTGCATGCATTAGTGAATGATTATAAAAGGTTTAATTTTTAACAAATTTTTTGTTCTGTTGATTCAGATTTTATAATGGAGTTTGGAGGAAACGGTAATGCCATTACTTCCATGATCTCAACCACACCCTTGGAAGTAAAACCACATTCCGACCCGGGAAGAGACCCGTACCCGAGTCCGGATGCCAAACCAGGTTCAGATCCGATCTCCAAACCTCCCATGGTTCACACCGCCGTCAAGAAAGAAAACCCTAAACCGATGACACGTAGCGACCAAGCAGCGAAGTACAAGGAATGTCAAAAGAACCACGCGGCTTTAACCGGAGGACACGTGGTGGACGGATGCTGCGACTTCATGCCCGGAGGTGAAGAGGGTACGCTCGGTGCTCTAAAATGCGCCGCCTGCAAATGCCACCGGAGTTTCCACCGGAAAGAAATGTACGGACACAGTAAACAAGAGCTGATAACTCCGGCGTTTTACTACAGTAACAGCTCGTACAAGGCGGTGCAGCCACGTGGAATGCATCCAACGGGAGAGATTGGACGGAGGACATCTTCTTCGAGCGAGGATATGAACAAGATTTTGAATCATCGGAACCAGAGTATTGATGGAAACGGGTCGATGAGGATGATGATGATGAGGAAGAAGAAGAAGAGGATAAGGACAAAGATCAATGAAGAACAAAAGGAGAAGATGAAGGAGTTTGCAGAGAGATTGGGGTGGAGGATACAGAAGAAAGATGAAGAAGAGATTGATAAGTTTTGCAGGTTGGTGAATCTGAGGAGACAGGTTTTTAAAGTGTGGATGCATAATAACAAGCAAGCAATGAAGAGGAACTGTAACACTAGTGATCTGCAAAACTGAAATTAAACCCTTTTTTTTGGCTTTTAAATTATTAAATTTTTTTTAGTATGAATTCGTGACTACAGTTTATAGGATTGTTGATGCAAATCTAGACAACATAAGCGTTTATTATGTTTTGATTTTTCGTGTTTATGTGCGATTTTTGCTTATTAGTTTCATAGTTTGTGGTTGCAACAAGTGATAAACTTTGGACCTTTCAATTAAACGGATACAAATATGTATAATAATATTTAAAATTCAAGATAGAGTAAGGAAGCTGGAATAGCTCAGTTGGTTAGAGCGTGTGGCTGTTAACCACAAGGTCGGAGGTTCGACCCCTCCTTCTAGCGTTTTGTTTTTAGGCGTTTTTTTATAATAAGTACATATTGTACGGAACACATTTAGCATTGTTCTTCTGTATTTGTTTCATGCCTTGATGATCAGGAATTTACGGGTTCATATGACGAAACAAGCTGAACCGAAATTAAACTCCAAACAGTGAATTTGGTGTTAGCTATTCTCTTGATTTGTGGTTATAATTTTGTTTGGTAAAAAAATAAGACGCCTAATGTATTTTTTTATTCTGATTAAAAAGAAAATGTATTTGTTGACACTAGAGGCAGGGGAAAGATAGCGAGCACACTACTTGGCTAAGAAGAAGAATAACAAGAACAATTTTCGTCTATCTAAAATGGTTTGGTTGTCCCTAACAAAAGATTTGTTGATCCAATTTGCAATACACTGAACTTGAGATACAACAACATTCTTATTATGTAGTCTTCCTAGCTAGTGTATGATTCTTACTCTTCCTTCGATGTCTAGGTTTTTTTTTGTTATTGGTATCATGTTATGTCATCTATTTTCTAGTGCAACATGCTATGAGGCGCAGCGATTATGACAATGTTCTCGGTGATTTGCCCTATTTGAAAGACTACTTAAACAGAGCTTGCTCATCCTCTTCTTATTCTCAATTTTCATTGGGTAATCAAGTTTTAATAATACCGGTCACCGTCTCCTCTGTCATCAAGTCACCAAATTCCTTGACAATCCCACATCTAAGTAAATTGAGACCTATAATAACATATAAGGAAATTAACATATGTCAAACCTTTCACTAACAAGTAACAACATAATATATTTTTGTATTGTCATAACTAATTTAGTAGGAATTTGTTTTTCTTTTCGTATTTGTGTCGTCTTCTTCTTCTTCTTCTTTCCGTCTTCCACTCGTTTTGGGAAGAATAAGGTTTCCACCTCCCTGTCCGACCTAAGAATATGACAAAACACAAATACAGTATATAGATATAGGAACAAGTCTAACTTCAATAAAGGTTTTAAACAAGAAGGATATATAATACGATTATATGATCAACTCAAACCATATTGACCTTACGTGGATTTGGAATCAAACGCATTAGATATATCTTTGCAAATGGTTTCTGAAAGGTTTCCTTTTGATCATGCAAGTTTCTAGACAATGTTGCAAACTTTTTCTCTTCTAACCAAGAATAATAAATTGTTGGATTTAAATGAGACAAATAAAGTTTTGCACACGACAAGTTAGTGTAAACTCTAAAGCCATTGTCCATTTGAATTGTCTAAAAGATGTAGACGTAATAATAGTCAGCATAAACCGCAATTGACCGGCGATTAAACAGGGACGAGATGTATACATCATGTGGGTGTAACATTAACACATGCTTTTTATTAAATTATACACATATATATTTAATGTCGTTAGTTGGAGATCTACACAAAAATAAAAGTCAACAGTTATATTATTTTTCTTTTCATTTCACAAAGCAAACTTGGCCTACTTTTACTTAAATAAACAGCATCAAGAGAAAAATTCAAGAACACACCTAACAAAAAAAAGAAAAAATCAAACTTTTTCACACAGCACACCACAATGTTTAGAGCCATGAGCACCAGGAAAAGCCACGGCGGCTACGAAAAGCTCGGCGACGAAGAACCGAGACTGAAGAGGGTCACGAGCGTTCCGGCTAGTGTTTATGGTAATTCAAGAAACCCGATTCAAGAGGTGAAGAAGACGCCGACGGCGAAAGCAACCGGTGGTTCTGTTCATCCTTTGCTAAGTTTCTTCGACGTTCGTTTTCAGAGGAAGAAGAAGAAGAAGCCGACTAAGAAGAGTTTGGCGACGGCGAAACCGGAGTTTGCGAGGTATATGGAATATGTGAAGGAAGGAGGTGTGTGGGATCCGAATTCTAACGCACCTGTGATTCATTACAGATAGATTCAAATGAAGGAAGACGAATAAAGACTTTGTATATTGTTTTTTATATAATCTATGAGGAACACAAAAAACAACCTGTGATTCGATTCAAAAGATGGATCAAACTATGAATTTGTCATGTTTTGCGAATTGATGTATTCAAAATATGAGTGTTTAGTGCACTTTCATTGAGTTCTCAAGAATAAGATAAATTCAAGATCCATGAGCTTATAATGATTAATAACTTGGTTTTAATTTCTAGTTTATTTTATAAAGATATGTTTATGAGAATCGAATCAATTGCTGGAATAGGAGGTCAGGAGTTGGTTGCTTTGAATCAGGTTCTTTTGTTTCATACCTTTAGCTTTTGTTTTAAAATTTTAAAATAAAGGGAAGAGAGTTTCAAATTTTGAATGGCAAATGCATTTGATTTCTTCTTCTCATCAGATAGTAAAGTTCAGGAAAAATATTGCAATAAAATGAGTAAGATAGTCTCCTTTATTTGGAAGACCTGATTATAAAACATGACTTTGTTAACAAATTCTAAATATTATTATAAGCGTGTTCACATGTGTCACGTTATGGAACTGGCTCTAGAAAATATCAAAGTCCAGATTTGAACAAGACAAAAACAACTTTTCAAAAAAATATTAAAAATTCGTTTTCAAAATGGGCTTTACAGATTCGTGAACAGATAAATTGGGCCACGGGTTAAAAGTTAATAAAAACCAAAATTGCTTTTAGGACCTAATGTTGCCACGTCACCGTTTTTATGACGTAATTGAATATTCGAGATAGGACCAGTTCTCTTATATGACCCACTTTAACAAGATCCCTTAGACGGCGTCGTTTTCGATTAATTTCGAAACCCTACCGTTGAATTATTTACATAAAAATACCCCTCGTTATCGCGCCGACCTTGATCGTTAGTCATACCGTCAAAGGTCAAATCCGTCTTTGGATCTCTCAAAAAGACACGTTTGGCTAAAATGTTCGACGACCAAGCGTAGAGGATTAATTTTTAAAAAGAAACAAATTAAGATTTGAGATAAAATAATGAATCTGTTAAGAAATGGGTCGCCAAGAATAGGGGAAAGAAAGAAGCAAAGAGAAAAAAAGAGAGCGTTTTCAAAATCAAATATTTGCGGAGAGACAAAGCGGAGGTGTCGTTTGCGATAAAAAGCCTTGGAGAAGAGGTTTTCTTCTTCTTCTTCTTCTTCCCTCCTCCTTCCTCTGCATCTCTTATACGATGCCGTATCGATCCTCTTCTTCTTCTCCCAATCTTCGTCGTCGTCTCGCTTCCGTCTAACCAGGATCTACCGTTAGATTTTTCAGCTTCTTCCGTCGAGATCTCCTTCGCGTGCGAGGTAATCGTTCTTTTACGCCTTTGAATTTTTCTTTTGGTTATGTTTTCCGGTTTATCGGCTTGTTGTGTTGCGGTGGAATTTCTGGAAAATTCGTTATCGGAGGATTGCATCTTGGAGGTGCTGTTCTTGCTTTGCGTTGGGGAGATTCGATTGACTTCTCGACTTGACCTTTCTAGATTCTCGATTTGTGATTGATTTGCCTGCTTCTTCTCGATTTTAGGTTTTCGTGAGCTGTTTTTTTTATCTTCTCGTATCCTCTCGAATTTCGACGAGAATCTAAAGTTTTGTTTGGTAGCTTCGTGGTAGCGATGGTGTGAATCGAACACGCGGTCTTTGCTTTGTACCTTCCCAATAGCTAATTTTCTCACTTACTCCTTGTTAATTGCATTTCGTGCTTGTTTCATTTTCATTTCTGATTCGATTGAAACGAAGAAAGCTCTTGTGGTGGTTTCATCTCTTTTGGTATTGTCGTACTAATTTTCGAATCTTCAATGATGCAGAGCCATGCCTACTTTTTCTGCAATTGCTTTGGATAGAATGCTAGAGCCAGGGGCTTCCACATCCGTAGAGACTGTTCCAAGCACAAAATCGTTTTATTCGAAGCCACCAATATCAAAACTGGAGAAAGGTAAAGGTAAATTACCTAATAATGAGAGGACATTTACTCGTCCTCAGATGTCACCGGCTCTCTACGCCACACCTGATGCAATTCCTCTCCCCAATTCGCCATCTTCTTTCCCACCTTCTCCTTATATCATCAACCACAAATCACGCGGGCCGCGTCTTTTGAAAAGCTCCTCCGAGGCTAATGTGGCTTCCCAAAAGAAGACGCTGGAAGATGAAGCTATTACTAGTGGTACAGACGTTAAGGCTTCACCTCGGAGGAAGTCGACCTCGTTCTCATTTCCTGTAAGTGAGGCTACTGAAGAGGATTATACTAATGGTGTTCATGCTCATCAAGTTGGAAACTTTGATTTTGATGGGATTGTTGATGGTCCTGTTGGGAATTGGAGTCCGCTTGACGGGAAAACTGAGAATGGAAAGTCGGAGTTGGATAGTGCTGCCAATGGTTTAGGACGGGAAAGCAATCTATCAGACCCTGTCACTGTCAAAGCAGACAAGGAGAGTGAGTCTGAAGATTTCTATGATCCAGGTGAATCAGCAAGTTTCACAAGTAACACGGAGGTAGAGGGTGATGCAGGAGAGGAAGGTTCACAAAGACTTGCTACCCCCGTGGGAGAGTTTTATGATGCTTGGGATGGTACGTATCTAAATTTCACTTTCTTAGTGAGATGGCTGTGTGTCCTTATGGTCTTAAGGTTCTCGGGATAGTATGATCAGTCACATATAAGAGTACCTTATCTTTTACGTTTAAACATTTAGGGATATATCGCACTACAGTTCCTTTAACATGCAATAGTAGCCTTTTCTTGTTTGGAAATTTTTTGTGCTTCTGGATATCATGAGAGTTGAGAGTCATGAGTCAGCATGAAGGCATATTTCTTATCCCATGTATTTGTAAAGTATCTTATTAAATTATTGTTTACTCGATGATATGATTGGGATTTTTTTTTTATAATCTAATCTAGTGTCCTAACTATGAAGTTCCCATTTCTTTGTCTTCCAGAACTATCAACCGACAGTGGAATGCAGAGTTCAGTGAACAACATCGAAGCTGAACTAAGGGAGATAAGGCTGAGTTTACTAATGGAAATCGAGAAGAGAAAACAAACAGAGGAGGCTCTAGAGCAGATGCAAATACACTGGCAGAGACTCCGCGAGCAGTTGGCCCAGGTGGGTCTCTTCGTTCCAATCGATCCTACCACCTCAACCAACAACATGAACCTATCAGAAGAACTACGCTGCCAACTCGAGGTTGCTAGGTTTGTCTCCGACTCTCTAGGCAGAGGTATGGCAAAGGCAGAGGTAGAGATGGAGATGGAATCTATGCTCGAAACTAAGAACTTTGAAATCACGCGGTTATCTGATCGTGTCCACTACTACGAAGCCGTGAACCGAGAAATGTCCCAACGAAACCAAGAGGCCATAGGTAAAAAAGAAAATCAAATTATTCTTTTTCATTTCTGTCTTTGTTGTTTTGTATGTATCTGATCCCCCAACTTTGTTGATTACCAGAGGTGGCACGACGAGAGAGGCAGAAGAGGAAGAAGAGGCAGAGATGGATTTGGGGATCGATTGCAGCAACCATTACTCTAGGGAGCGCTGCATTGGCATGGTCTTACATTCCTGCATCCAAACCATCATCCGAAGTATCACCACAAACTCTCAAGGATGATTAAGTAAGCTTCTTGTCTCCGTAACGGGTTTGATATGAAGCAAGAAAAATAATATCCAGGACGTTTAGCACGCCTTGTGAATAGAAATATATACATATTTTGGTTATTGTTTTAACCGTTCAAGAGGAAGTATAGCTCCGAGTAGCTGCAAACACATGTTTCTTTTTTTCTTTCTGTGGCATACTGAGTGATAGCCACAATTCACTAATATTGGTTCGTGTTACCTTTCAACATTCAATGTTTGCTCTCTAGTGCTAGGTACTTGGCTTGCTATTCGTTTCCTACTTTTGACTTGAGATCAGAAAGAGTCTTCACGTGCCTAGGGAAATTGAATTTTTGAAAGAAATTGTGGGTTACAATATATTTTTTTTGCTTACAAATATAAAGGGGTTTTTGGCTCATCTATCGTCTCTGAACCAGTTAAGTACAACGTAAACTGCAAAAGCTAGCGCAAAAGTAGCTGCAACCAGAAACACAAATATTTGGACCCATAGAGACGATTCGAAGGCTTCAATGAGAAGCGAGTTCCACGTTTTGTACCATAAGATGCAGAAAACAGAACCCACGATTGCACCAACCACCACTTGACTGCTTGTGTGTAATTTCTGAGAAACTCTTAACCGTATCTGCAAACGTTGTAATAACGTAAGCATTTGCTAGAGGGAGGAGATCAATGCAATTCAATGATTTCATCAATATAAAGTCCGAATTAAGTGAGTATTAGCTGAGGCATGTTAACTGTTATGTAGACTTACAAAGTATGAACACAATGCGAGGATGAAGCTGCTAAGGCACAAAGAGACTTTATTGGTTCCAAGCCATTCCATAACTGCAGATAACATGATCCCCCGAGTAAATCCATTGTCTTAACAGTGAAATCTGACTATATAGTTCAAGGTTTTTGAGCAGCTTACCGGACAAAACAGCAAAGACAGATATGAAAGAAATGGATTGGGCGTGAGAAGAAGGCATCCCAGGATCAGTTCGCAGAGTCGTAGCAGGCCTCTCTTGGTTAAGTATACGTTTGAGAAGTACGGAGAGAGCCGAATTCGAAACGGATCCAATGATTGCCCACAAAGCTGTACCATCATGTCGCAGAAGAATGATGGAAGCAAACAGAGCAGAGACTACCCATTTGCTCTGTTCAGTATTTGAATAAAACCGGTGAAAAAACGCACACAAAAGATGATAGTACATAATAAAGGCATTTCAACGAACACATTGCGTGCATCTAAGGAGATACCATTACTAACCAGACGATTAACGATGGCTTCAATTTCACAGCCGGATACCAACTCGTTCCGGAGCTCCGACGAGCCATTGATTAAAGATTCTTTCTCTACCGTCTCAGATTGTTCGTTTCCGTCATTGCTGCATCCGTTTCTGCTAGCAAATCTTTTGACTAGAGCGGTCATGGATCTAGCGCCAGAAACAGAGGGAAGAAACCCACGAGGAATGTTCGAACTTTAGCTCCGAAATCGGATTGAGATTTCTGATCTGAAGGACCAAAGCAGGCGGGATGGTGGAGAAGGAGAGAAGACGCTGCCATTCCAAAGGCAAAAAAGTCAACGTTTAATCAAATGCATCGCTAAACAAAAGTAAAGTTCGTCGGAAAAGTGGAAGCTTTATGATGAAAATCTTAAGGCGAAGAAGGAATATATTCAAATCGAGAAATCCATTGTTTGGTGGAGAAAGGAAAAACCTGAGAGCTTCTTCAATCTTCTTCGTTCACGTTGAATATTTTTTTGCTCGATAGGGAAATTTTCAACGTTTGGCGCATTTGATTATATTATGCCCATTCATCTTCATCCACGTGGCGTATTGTGGAATCATCGGGTAAACCAATACTGAACCAATTTATTGGGCTTATGTTTCTTCACTCGATGCCCATGTATCTAAATTACGAACCCATCGCTAAAAAATACGGAATGACATTTATGCTTTTATTTCTCCGGCCGAATTTGTCATGTTGACATAAAAAGGTGAAAAGTTGATAATAGATACAACACCTAAAATTCGAATATAACGACGACAGAAAAAAAATTCGAATATAGCATTAAGTAATGTATCAACGGTGAGAAAGCCGTGTACACGTCGTTTTATTCGGATTTAAATGTTCCAGCGTTTTAATTAGAACAATGTTGTTTTCTGTGGAATTCTGTAGCCAGAAACATATGAACTACAATTTGGATATGTATATTAAATATAGCATATTGGTAAAGTTTAGATATACAAATAAGGAGGTCGAATATGCCTTGAAGAATTTTCCACGTATGGTTTCGGAAAATATATTGGATAAAGTAATACATCGACCAAAAGGAGAGTGCTCTTTATATTTTGACCAATTGTAATCAGATTAAACTACTTTACGTATGCTTACAGATTAGATTATTGTCCATCTCTTTTTGGCAATGAAACATTAATTTAAGCTTATGTGTAAAATGATTCTTTTCGTTCTTTTTTCCATCTTTTTAATGATTTTTTTTTTTATAAATGAAAATACCTAAAATAGGAGAGAACAGAGTTTGGAAAGGAAAAACATTGACATCTAGAAGGCTTCTAACAATTCTCAAAAGAGAACAAAGCAAAAACCAGTTATAACCTCAAGGGTTTAAACGATGGTAAGGAGAGAGGATCACACTTCTGAGACACTGTCAAGGGGGAGTATTAGAATTTAATTAGAATGTTGTAGCTTCTGAGGAGAGGAGATCACGCAGCCAAATATGGCAGTTACGGGCAATATGAGACTGATATCGACGATCTTTGGTTACGCATATTGCAATGGCATTAGTGACACATTTAGAACTAAGAGAGTCATGAAATTACGTGGCGATATAGCTCATGAAATCGACAATACTGTACATTATTTCGAATTTAGCCGAGGATTTAGTAAAGTTTCAATTCGTTGATGGAACTTTTAAATTATTTAACTTATTTGCTATTTTACAGTTTAAAGGAAAACACTTGTTAGTCACTTTTCAAACGTCCAAGAAAAAAGGGCACTTTTCTCATATTTGGATGAAATAGTTTTCAAGCCACACAAATTAGTTATCACTTATATATCAGCAACATTTTTGTACATTCATTTTGTTCTAAATTTGTTTGCTGCATATGAATGCGTTATATATGAAGCCAAAAAGAACAAAATATGTAGGTGATAAAGTGTGCATAGTCATTATCGCATTCCCTCTGATTGTTTAGATGTCACTAAATGGAATTAGTTCTAGAAGCGGTCAAATCTGATCAAACAATAACAAAGAAATTTTTATTTTCACTATAAAACTCTAGCCTTAATAAGGAATATATATGGTTCATTCATTCCACAAGAATGATATCTCCTCTTTATAGTAAGTTCCACTTGGTTTTTTTTTTTTTAAATTTAAAAACTTGGTTTTCCTTTCTCTTTTGATTTTTGCGCAATCAAATATTATTAATATTTTTTATCGGTGTGTTAATAGTAAAGATATATGGTCGTTGCCGATGGAAAATAAATACCGTGGTCACATCAGATTTAAAACCAATACCAGAGATTTGCTTTTATTTCATCCCAGTTTTTTTCAAAATAGTTACAACCTGAAAAAATTGGTATACCTTGAAGTGTGGTTAAAATGGGTTAAAGTATGGGTGTAAGTGTAGATAACTGGATACAATGGGCGGGAGTGACGATTGTCAAACGCCATGGCGTTTATCATTGGAGACTAAAACTGTATGCCGTTTCAAGAAAGTTTTTTACATTTAATAAAGAGCAAGATGCGTCCATCAGTCTGTCAAACTCAATCTTCAAAGTACAGTTTTTGGCAGGGATTTGACGATGACCCAGTAAATTTTTAAAAGAATAATTACAAAGACGCTATGAAGTTCGGAAATGTATGGAGATAACATGGTGTCGTTTTATGTCAAATCGTTCTTGAATATCATGATTATGTTTTCCATCTGTGGGCTATAATCAAATCAATATGGCTATTTCAAAATAAGAGTAGTGGTCAAAGTTTGAATCAGGACTTCAAACAAGTAAACGATATTGATGAATGTTTTATTCTTATTTAATCTTCCTTATAAGAAACCTTATAGTAAAATTTGAACTAATGTACGCTATTTTGCACTTGTTAACATTTGTGATACATTAATGTTGGGTACTAAGTTCTTGCCGAATCCATATATATATAATTAGTATACATATTTGATAGTCGTGCGTGCATGTGTGTGATTAGTATGAACAAATAATAACGCATGTAAGTGGAACTTATGGGCAGAAGCCGTAGAACTAAAGGAAAAATAATCAAATTTAAAGCTATGGGTCGACCAATCTTTATTATCCACTAACTATTTCCCAATTTTATCAATATGGCTTCTAATTATAAAAATTGAAACTTAAAGCATTCTTTGGATATCTTTTAGCCGAATAACTTTTCATTTGGCCTCACCTAATATATTAAATTCATGTCCACCAATGGAAATAGTGTGTCTGTATCTCTTTGTTAATGATGTGTCTGTTTTATTTGTATATTTCATGTATTAATATGTAATTAGTCACATATCTAAACTTTTAGAACTTTTTTTATATGACAATCCAACGTGCTATATATTACAAAATTGTAAAAGAAACAGTATGAGAAGAAAAAGAAAAACTAAAGTTTTTGATGCGAATATATTCGGACATATACAATTGCGTGTCTGACAACTTACAATTTCGGTGTTTCGTGAACTTGCTTTTCCGTAGTCTATATTTCATTTCCAATACTGAAATGTTCAAAACTTGAAAAATGTAAGATAAAATCCATCTAAAATATTATCCGGTTAGCCAATATATATATATATGTATATATATTAATTGATTTGTAGACAAATACACTATTAGATATTTGGAAGGAAGCCTTAGGAAAAAATTCAATTTAAAATGGAACGTAGAGAAGACTATGGACAATGGGCTTTGGGACAAAGTCGGTAGATATCTCTACAATACAAGGAACAGTCTCTACAATACAGGGTACAGTATTTTATACACACGTGATTTGTGGCAGATTAATTATCTGTAGAATCTTCCTCGGAACCATGTGACCGTATTAAATGCGATATTACGTGTAAACTAATCATAGAATCATATTGTATTTAATTTGATCTCAATAAGCTCGTTCTTATTTTCATGCACACGTGATAATTAGTTTCATCGTATGAGATTAAGGGCAATTTGCATGTATAGGCTTGAAAAGGTCCGTAAATATTAAATACCAATACAGTAGGTGTTTATTTAAGGATATCCGTCAGAGTCATTAACTGCTAGCTAGACTTTGTTTTTTTTTGTTGATAAATTAAAATTTAAAGCAAGATTTTTCTATTGTCATTTGTCGCTTACTTAATCAGGGTCTGATCTGGGATAACCAGATCAAATATTGACCTCTAACCCCCAAAATTCTTCTGAGATCATATGAATTTTTTGGCTCTCAAATTGCAAAAAAAAAAAACAAATTTATCAACTTTTTTTAATTATTTATAACCCTCAAAATTTTCAGATTCGATCATGTCCTTAATTAGTACTATTAGTTTTATAAAGTTCTGTTTCAATGTTTTTTCTATTTGGAAGAGAGTGTACTGTGCACATAATACGTATAAAATATAATCTACTTTTTATAAAAGTAATGTCTAATTTTGTTTGAAACGGTGAGATGCACGGGATCGATAAATAACCAACTAATAATACCAAAAATGTTTGGTAAAATAGAAAAGGATATAGAAAAAAAAAAAGCAAAGAAGTAAAAGAGCGAGCGGTGGTTATACGGATACCATACGGCTCACGTGAAAACCTGATTCCTTCTTACATCACCTTTCCATTTTGCCCGGTCCAATTCCTTTTCTTTTTATTTACTCTTCTTGTTTTTTTTTTTAATAACAGCTGTAACTCATTCAAACACATTTTTTTACTAGTTCAAACATTTTAACTCGATATTTTTTTCTCGATTTTATGAGTGTGATCATTAATTTATATATTTCCACCTGAAATGATCGCGCACTTTAATTTGTGGCGTATATCCTATATAATAACAATTTCCTCTAAGAGAGTCAACCATTTACTCATTTGCCAATTTCCAATTATATATCCAAAAAAAAAAAACAATAGAAAAAGTGAGGGAAAAAAGTTAATTTATTTGAAAAGAGAAGATAAAAAAAGGAATTAAAAGTCTATAAAAAGAGACGCTTGGGGAGATGCATGGGTCCACTTCCTTCTTCTTCTTCTCCTCTGATTTTCCTTATTCGAATTTTCCCTGAAAATCACTCTCTCAAACTCACATTTCTACTCATCCCGAAAAATGGACTCGATCGATTTCGACAACGTGAAAGCAGAGAAAGCGAAGGCGCTGCATCGTTTTCACAGTCTCCGTACCATCGGTTTCTTCTTCCGTGTGACGGAGATCTGCGTCGCTCTTCTCTTCGTCTGTTGGATATTCACTTGCCTCCCTTTCGCCGTTCGAATCTCCGGCGATTTCCTCCGTCGTCTCGCTTGCGTCGTTTCCACTCCTCTTTTCGTCTTCGTCCTTGGAAACTCCATCGTCGTCGCTCTTCTCACTACCAAATCCACCGTATTCTCCGCCGGTCGGTCAATCTACGGCGGCGACGGCGGAGCAGAGGCGGATATCTACGACGCGTTCATCAGATCCGTAGAGAATCGCTCCAATTCGCCCGACCGAGATCTAACGGAAGAGATCATCCTCTACGACGACAAACAGATGATCGCCACCACTGTAACCGATTCAAATTCAAATTCGAATTCAAATTCCACCGTGGCGCGTGAAGATCACGTGGCGATCGAACCCGAGAAGGATCCGATTTCTGTAACTGATTCGGTTAAGGATTATCCTACGAAAGTCTATCGAAGAAGCAAATCGGAAATCTCTGCGAAACAGAGCCCGGAGATGGTGACAAAACCTTCACTCCGGCGATCGGAGACGGGAAAGTGCCGGGAAATCGTTGAATCGTGTGAAGAAGTTCCTTTCCCGGAGGATAATCTGACCAACGAAGAGTTTCAGAAAACGATCGAAGCATTCATCGCAAAACAGTTAATATTCCGTCGCCGAGAATCTCTCGCCGTCGTTATCCATAACCAGATCTGAAAAGTATGTACATGACTATGTATATTCCTGAGTCCGAACCAACAAACAAAGTTTTGGAATGAGAAAAAAAAAATCACGAGGAGGAAGGAAAATTCAATTTAACAATATTGACGATTGATCGATCTCGTGTTGTTTTTGTTTGTTTTTTCCTTTCGTTGTTGGATTAAATATGTATAGCTTCTATAATGTTCGAATCAAATTTGTCGAAAGATTCGGATGCATTTAGATATAAACAATGCTTCTCTGTTTCTCTATGTGATAATTAAAGAAAATTAGATATTATTGTATTTGTTTCTCTTGGTTCAGCGAGTGTCACTTCCCTGAAGTGATAATAATACAAACTTGAAGTAGAAACTATATGTTTCGTGAAATTATTATGGCCGTACCAAATTGCTTTTGGTTGGGTTTTAGTGCAATCTAAGAAAAGAAACTATTTTTGAGTACATATTTTGAAGTTAGTAAGCATTTTCATTATTACAATTGTCTGCTTACGATTAAAACAATCATTTGTTATAACGCGAACTTGTTTATCCTCATCGTATACCATAGTTGTAACTTGTAAATTATTTGTATTATGGAAAATCTGTTCGCTCTATGTATGTATATACAAGAAAATAAATTATTATCCAATGAGAAGACTCCGTTTTATCCTCCTAACAGGTACATATGTAATTCTTTAACAAAAAAGGTACATATGTGATTAATAATAGAGTAATCATATATATATATATTATATATAAAATTTACAATCTAACGTAATTTCCTCTCTCTCATTATAAGTGATGTTTAACATTGAAATTGTATACAATTGATTTTATTAGTGGTTAAGTTGTGGTTATGTAAATAATAAAAAATGTTTTAGTTAACAAAAAAAAAAAACAAAAGTTAATTTTTTTTTCATTTATGTACAGAAACTTTAAACATCAGTTATAATGAAGGAGTATAATCTTGTATTGGTTCATATCACAAGTTAAAAATCGGGGTGTTGATTGGAGGATGAGACCAAAACAGGTGAGAAGTAGAACTATTCGGTGAAAAACCATATACTGTATTATACGATAATAATGACGTGCAAAATTGGGCACGGTGTTTAAACAAATGGAATTTGGGCACGATATATATGATTCTTAATTAAACTTTCATGGGTGTATGGGAATGATTGATGGTCTAATAAGTCATCCCATAGTCATGATTAGTCCTCGATTAGTATAGATATATTTCAAAGTTGAAAAAATAATTTACTTGCTTGAGCCGCAGAGTGTCCGGTGGGTACGTCTTAGCACTAATCATAGTGCAATAATATTGAATTTCAAAAGTATTAAAAATGCACTTTTATAAATGCAGACACACACGCAGAAAAAAATAAGATGAAAAGTGACTTTCTTTTTCACCAAGACCCGTAATCTCTGCTGATGAAAATTTAAAGCAGCTTTTTTCAACCTTTAATTTCTTCATATCTTTTGTGTTTTCTTTTTTCAAATTTTAATTATCTAAATGTATAAATGATAGATTGTCGCGCTTTTAATTTGTTTTTGTATTTTTGGGGTGTTAATTTAGATCAGCAACAATGTTTCCACCACGAACGGCTATTGGCATTGTGGTTGTTGGATTAGCCTTTTTTTTTTTTTTTTTCTTTTTTGGCATCGAGGTTGTTGGATTTATTGACCAACAATGCACTTTAATTCGATTGTCTAATTATATAAACTAAACAATATTCACCTAAAAATTACATACTAGAGTTAGAGGTATCTGATAAGTTTGATGAGAGTTTAAGTTTGGAAGAAGTGTTATTTACTCTCATGCCAATAAGCTTTAGGTTACATAGGTTTATATAGCAAAATATTTCCTAATCTAGATTGATACGAATTTATAAATGTCTAAATAATAATTATACAATATATTCTATATTAATAAACTTTCTTGATTCTTCTCTAATCAGATCTTCATTATTTCCATCATCGTTTGATTTCGTCGATCTCCGGCTGGTTATCTCTTAATACCCTCCCACAAGCTCATACGTGGTAATACGTGTGAGATTGGACAAATCTTCAAATCTTCAAAATATCGGCTTTATACCCAGCTGTTAGGTCATCAACTACGTTTATACCCGGTCATAGGGTCAAATCGGCTGCAACACTTGGCCGTCGGGTAATCAACATTTATACCCTCTTGTAGGGTTCTTCAATTGCTTGTAAACCCAGCCATACGGTAAATTGGTTGGAAAATACACATCTTCATATTTCTACCAAAAAATAACCATCTTCATCATTAAAGATCGTGTGAACAAACCAACTTTCGTATTATAATAGTTTGACTCACGGTTAAATAAAAAACCGGTGAAATCAATTCACCTCCACCAGTTAAGAAAAGCCAAGCGCAATCGTGTGCTTCATAATTCTTGTGCTCCAAGAAACTAGCAATATGCTAGCCAATACGCAAGTAACGTGACCAATCACTGACCACATCAACAAAACAAGCCACCAATAGGCTCTATTTTCGATCGAATTTCACAAGTCACCAAGGCGATGTCTTCCATATCGTTGACAACACACCAGGACTCTCCGTCTTTCATTGGATCTGCTCATCATCGGATTGAACCTGAGCGATAATGGCTCCCAAGTTCTTCATTGCGGCAAATTAATATGCCGGTGCCACAATCATCGTCTTCTCAGCCACTTCATGTGAAGTCATCATGTCTGGACGAGAATCTTCAAAATCTTCGATGTACGCTATCTTCATCGTCGTCGTCACCGTTGGAGAAGTCATCGTAATCACCATCAACTCTTTTTCTTTATCACGAGATTTCTTATACGGAAGTTTCAACTCCGATCCTAAAGGATCAAAGGCTCTGATACCATGATAAGTTTGATGAGAGTTTAAGTTTGAAAGAAGTGTTATTTACTCTCATGCCAATAAGCTTTAGGTTACATAGGTTTATATAGCAAAATATTTCCTAATCTAGATTGATACGAATTGTGTTGAAAAAAAAAAAAAAGATTGATACGAATTTATAAATGTCTAAATAATAATTATACAATATATTCTATATTAATAAACTTTCTTGATTTTTCTCTAATCAGATTTTCATTATTTCCATCATCGTTTGATTTCGTCGATCTCCTGCTGGTTATCTCTTTAATAGTATCTCATTTTGAAGAAAGAGTGACATGCATTACGTACATTGATATACTGAAAGAAAAAGAGACTATATTTACGAAATGAATATTTGCCTGCGTAAATGCACTTTTCTAGTTTTCCAAAGAAGCTCCTTCCTGCTTTGTGAACTTTCACCCGAAGAACGAAACGTATCACTTCTTTATTGTTCAATTAAATAAAACAAAATGGAGCTAAGACATGCATTATTAGCCGTATCATGGATGCATGAACGAAAACAGGAAAGATAAGGATGTTGACGTAAGTCAGTATAATAAATATTATTCATATATAAAATTCCAAGCCTATGAATTGTAGTGTAGTTTATAGATATTTTGGCCCACATTTAATCAGCGGTCGAAAAAAGATAAAAAAAAAAGAACTATCTAAATAGCAATTCCCACGTCAATTATTCACCGGGATCCTAAATTCAGTAGTATATCACACTGATGCTATATAATGATTTATGTTAATTTTTTTTTTGCGTACTAATTTTATTTCAATCCTACGTAATTTGTGTTGTTGATGTTAAGTACATATGTTTTTGTTAAATTTAATATTATTCGATGATTACTTACAAAAACAGAGAAATTTAATCATTTTTTAATAAAACATTTTGTCGTAATAAATCATTTATATTTTAAGTCGTAAAAACATCAATTGGTGTGTTATTAAATGTGTGGGGAATATATAAACACATACGCCAGGTGTTGATTCATTAACTTTCTGCACATAGGACCCCCTATAAAACTGTAGACACAATAATACTTTTAATTTGTAACATTTGACCAATTGACCTTGCTATGTAATTATAATAGCTCAAGGATATATGAATTGACATGGACATTTTTACAAATTTGAATGTAAATTATTACGTAACAAGTCAATAACATTGTTACTGACAACCATTAAACTACAAATGATCATATCAGTATATATTTTTTTTATTGTTGTTTAAATGATTTCTTAGCTAACGTGGTCAAGATGATCCTCGTCTTGGGAGTCCCAGGATCAATTACTACTCCCAAACAAGTGTCACCATTTTGTTTCATTCATCTTATATATATATATCTATTGGATTTCCATGATGGACTTGACGATAAGTTGATAACAAGAAAAACGTTTTACCTTAGAAGCCCACGCCTTTCAAGTTTCAAATAAATGCAAGCAGGCCGTTCCGAACATTTTCATTTTGAGGTCTAAAGCGCAGACGGAAATGTGGCCCATACTAGAAAAATACAATCGAGTTTTAAAATATTCAAATCTCTTTACCATAAGCATATCTTAGGAAATTATTAAAAATTTAAATTTTAAGCTGAATTATAATAGAAGAATATAATTGTAACCTATGCTTCCTGAAATGGTTTCTGATTTTTCTGAAAAGACTAGGGAAACAAAGAAGATTTGTGACCGATATACTATACGTAGCTTAAAAAGGAAAATAATAACCAATAATAATATAATATTGTTAAACAATCATTTTAAAAAAATTCTCTAAATGGAAGGAAGTTTCGTTGGCAAAATCTTACAAAAGGGAAAATTAAAAAAGAGAGGTGAAAATCAATGCTTGAACCCTAATCTAAAACTAAACCTCATGAGCAAAACGGACAACCAAAAAAATACGCGCACCTTGAATTTGACTTATATTTCGTGGCCTGAAACATATGTTGGATTTTCAAAACATACGCGCACCTTGAATTAATTCTCCTAAAAGTAGAGTTTTCAAGATCTAGAGTTTGAGCACATGCGAGGGAAAACTAAATTAGTAGTTTTCACTAGGTTCATAACGTGTTGGTTAGTAAAAAGAGACATAAGTCATGAATATACTTTTCAAAAAGCTAATTTAGTGATATAAACCACATCATATCCAACTGCAGTGGATAGTTCAACTTACAATCTGTTATTTTATACTTTTTCAAAATTTTCAGGATTCATACTGTGTAAAAAATTGCATATTTGAGGATTTAAACTCCATACATAAATAATGTCAAAGAAAAGAAAAATGCTTGATAGATTGGAAAATGTTTTTGATAAAGGAAAACGTTTTGATTACGACCATAATATCTGAGTTTTCTAGAGGTATTAGTTCTTGACATCTTGTTGTATGTAAAATTTTCAGTATAAACTACTCGGTTTAGGGGAGAACGTT